GAGGTGTGTACGTGTACAGTCTCACCCTGCAATCATAAGTCCTCACAGCTCAGGTAGCCAGTCCAGCTAAACACCAGTATTGCTGTGACACGGCTCTACTACACCCCGCACTCCTCAAGGAGCCTCAACACCACTACTACGTTTAGTGCAGCAAGGAAGCAGCAATGCAGCAGCCACATAACCAGCTCTGACAGACAGAGATGATGGGTCATATCCTGCTCGCACGGACGGGAGCCTTGTGCTGAAATGGTTCCTCTCCAGGACCAGACTTGGCTGCGCTGCCCACAGCCAGAGCAGGTTCCTGATGTCTCCTCATGGGATCTCCTCAAAGGGGATCTGCCCAAGTGACCTACCTTCTACCAGCCAAAGCAACTGTAAAATAATCACCCAGCAATTTAGCCCCACAGACAGAAAACACCGCATAAAACATCCCTGTCAACACTAATGATTCCTTTGCTTTATGGACGTCTGGGAGTGCGCTCATGGTGTGAACGAAGTTTCCACCTAATTGCAGCAAAGTGGCCCTTGTACCTCTCTCCTCACCAGCCTTCCAGCCAGGCTTTATTACTTTGATGGAACACACCACCAACAGATGCACTGTGCATCAGAGAACTGGAGGGATCTGATAAGACAAACCGCATGCCAGATCTCCTTCCAAGGAGCAAACTGGCAGTCAGTTTTTACACGAACCACCACTGCAAATAAATGACCTTTTTTAGCTAATTAGGGTTACCAAATTCTGACGGTTGCTATTACCTGAAACAAGACCAACAGACATGACTGTACAGTGAGTTATTCAGGAAAGAAGCTGGATGGTAATTACTGTCTATTAGTGACACCATATATTTTGGTACTTCCCTTGGAAAGGTCTCCTCACGTCTATCCATTTATAATTCAGGTTTACAAATTCTTTCTAAAACTGGATTTATCATGCCACCAACTCTCAGCCTGGGAAATCTAAAAATATTAGTGCATTTGGTGAGAAACAGCAAAACTGAATTAGAACAAACATTTGTAGGTACTCTTCATCTGCAAAGGAAGCAGTGGTAGTTTAGCTAATTAAATACCCTGAAAATTTAGAGCTGATCCCAGACCTTACCTTGGGAATTCCTGGTTTTAAGGAACAGAATATGGTTGCTGTTTCCCCCACACCCTTCAGTGCCGCTTCTCTCACAACCAAGATCTGAAAACATACTACTAAATAAAACCGAGGCAAGCCAAAGGCTTATTCGTGGGGTAGAGGATGCTTTCATCAGGGCTTGGTATCAAGCATCCTCCTCAGAATATACCCTGATACTGACTGAAAAGGAAGAATTACCCACATCTTGTCTCCAGTTTGCATTATATACGATTACCTCTGATTACACAGGATCACCTCTGATGCTGTGTGTGCTGGCCCTGCTCTGCAGCACCACACAACCCAGGTGTTCACCCAGAGGAGAAAAATCAAAGTTTTGACTATTTTCCCCCCATTTCCTCCCCTGTGTACTTTCACTCTCCCATTCAACACCAATTATAAAACACTAAGATTAGAATCACTGCCTGGGGGCACAAAATTAACTGTAATTTTGAGACCCCTGTGCTCTCCAGGCGCAGGGAATTAGGACTTTCCCTCCTGCCCTGGGTACGAAAGGTGGGACCTGCAGTGCTGGGGCCGCAGACTGACAGGGTCCCTGGGCATGGCCAAGGGCACTACAGGCAGTTCCCAGGCCACCATAAGCAAAAGCCATCCTGCTCCACTCCTCCTGTATTGTACCTGGGGACGCCGATCTCGGCAAAAAGCAGCGTTTGCCACAGACAGACACAGGGCCAGAGCCAGACACAGGGAACAGACCGGGTTGGCTGGAGTCAAACTGAGATGCCACAAGCTGAGCACACTCTGTGCAAACGCTCTCTGGCTTGCTGAAATACTAGTAGCAGCTCTCCTGTCCCTCCCTCCTGAAGGAAAACTTGGGGGCAAGAAAGAAGTACATGGCTATTTTCCACTATGCCCTGGAAGAAGCCGGAATTGCCATTGACACAGCACCAGGAAAGAAACCTATTTGCCAGAAAAGCAGTCTGAAGTGGAAAGGAGACGCGATCCCTAGCTGAGCCATCTGCCTTTGGTTTGTTATTAAACCAAAGAATGTGAAAACCTGGAAGTCCTCGCTTGAACACAAACCAGCTCTCTCAGGCACACTGCTCTGACCCTGGGAAGGTGAGGGGAACAGCTTCATCTCCTGGGAAGATCAACAACACACCTTGACCTCCCGAATGGCACTGCACGAGCAAAGCCTCCACCTGCCCTCATGCCCTGCGCCTCAAGTCATCCTTTTACATGTATGCTCGGGTGCCCGTGGAGGCAGCATCCCCTCATCCTCCAGGGTAAGTCCCTGCAGGGCCACAGCATTGGAGCTGAGCTGCCCTGGAGGAGTGAGCGGGGAAGCCGGCGGGAAGGCAGCACGCTCCCTGTGCCAAATAATTAGTTATTTACAGGCTCTTCCGCCACGACAATCACCCCTGACCTCTCTCACCCAGCCGAAGCGATTAGAGACCACGGGCACAGACGTCTGGCTGCTTAAGGCTGCCTGGCGTATTGGCACTACAGCCCCAGCGGGCGAGACTCTGCTCCCCGCCCCCCAAAAAGCCCTTTTCTAATCCTAATCTGGGAGCGCCACACACAGAACCCAGCTGCTTCCTCCACCGCAGCGCCGCAGCCTGCCAGATGGAATAAAGCCTGCAAAGAAATGTTTTTGGGGATCAGTTGTACAGTTAACCTAATTAGAGAGGTAAATTAAAAGAGTTTGCAGTTATGCCACCTTCCTGAAGCACTCCTGTGTGGCAACTTTTGGCTAGAAAATTAAATAGCATCTGGTGGTAGCTGCTCAAAGTCGTATTAGAAAGAGAAATAAAATCAAGTGATTGGAGGTGGGGGAAAACTATATAATGAATTTATCTTAGGAAGGCTCAACCCTGTCCTCTCCACTGATCCCAGGTGGAGGGAGCGATCAGGTAACAGCCTCTGCAGTGCAACCAAAGCCCTCCTGTAGCACAGAGGTGAGCTAATGCTGCCCGCCATCGGCAGGAAATAAATAAAGAACACTGGCGATACAGAAACCTACCCGAAAATGAGGTAAGGGTGGCAGCATTAAGGGAGCTCAATCCAAGGCTCCCGGGAGCTGATCGGAACTCGGTGCCCGAGTGCCAGGATCCCAGAGCTGAGTGGCTGATACCGGGCATGGGTACGGGAAGGATCTCGGGAGCCGCACGGCATCAGGCTCCTGCGACACACATCAAATCCAGGCAAGGTGTCCTCCAGCATACACTCCACTGTCCCCAGCCTCTCACCCCACATCCATAATGGGCACCTGCCCCCTCCCAAGCCTTGCACATGCTGAAAAAAATGGGAAAAAAAATGTAAAATACGCTATTTCTAAAAAGCCAAGGAATGGAATTGCAAAGCCAGAGTTGTTTCAATACAGCCCCATGCCAAGAGTTAGGCTGGAAGAGAAGCCTTTTCTTCAAAAGACATTACATATTTTAATTCACAACTTCTATCATAACCACGAGCCTTGATCTGACACAAAGTAAAGTCTCTCATCCTTGCAATTCTGTGGGACACAGTTTATGTTCACCAACTGGCTGACACAAAAAAGAACTGTATCTTCATTATTTATACACTGCTATTGGTATGCACATCTAGCCCGGCCTGTTAAAGTCAGGGAAGAATTATGGTCTATTCAGTACCCGTAGTGTTAATAAAATCAGGCAAATCCAGCTTAGTTTTGTCTGAACACGAATGAGATTAAATCAAGATTAAATGTGCATACAGTACAAAGGGTATGGTTTATGCTAAAATTCAGAAGGAACACATTTTAGTACCCAGCATACAAATGCCTACAGACCTTCTCCAGGACTCAGACACCTGAATTAAACAACGATGAAACCGGAGAAGGTGAAGGCAGATGACACTGGACAAAAGCCACCCAGAATACCAAGGGACAGATGCTGGCTCTAAAATACTGCTCTGCAGCCCCGCTGGAGGTAACAGGGCAAACCCTGTGCTAGAAGATACAGGCAGAGCTCAGCTGACTTTCCCCTGCATGCACCGAGCATGAGCCTGCCCCATCGCAGTGCCAGGAATATATGCAAAACCAAGACTCTTTCCCAAGTTTTCATTTTGGGCCATTTTGCATTAGTCTGTGTCGGATTTAGATTTCACAACACAGAACAAGGTGTTAAGCGGGCACAACTCTGACAACCCGCCCAGCCTGGGATGCCTCAAAACCCTTCCCTTCACAGAAAATACCGTCTGTATTAAATTGCCAGAGAAACCAACTCACTTCTCCTTCCTCAGCAATAATGTTCTTTCTCTCTCACCTCCGTGCGCTCCATCTCCAAGAGGGAAAGAGCAAACAGAAAAGTAGTGGGTATTTAGGTCAGGCACTGTCCTCACCGCCACTCTGCGAGGGTTCAAAACACTAATAAAACCTGCAAATAGCCCCTCGTAACAAAAAGCCCCACGGGCTGGAGGCGGGGGAGCAGGTTCCCAAATATAAGTAAGCCCCACTCGGGTGTCCGGACCGCAGCGCTCCCCCCGTAACCAGAGGAAGGCGATGAACACCCGGGGCTGGCGAGGACCCCCGGTGCAGGCTCGGGGCCGGTCAGCGGCACCCCCGTTGCCCGGCAGACAGGCGGAAGCACCGGTCGGAGCATCGCGGGGCTGCGGCGAGGGGCAACGCGCGAGGTGCGGGAGATGGGGAAGAGCCGGGAGCTGCCCCGCCAGCTCGGCCCCCGTGTCAGCGCTCACCCGCGCCGTGTCACACCCGCACCGCGCACGCCGCAACAGATGAGAGCACTGGGGGGAGGGAGTGGGGTGTATATTAATAATCACTCCGCGGAAGCGCAGCGCTGGAAGCCCCCGCGGAAACTTCCCCACCCGCACCCGCACCGCACCCCCCCTCGCACCCGGGGGAAACCGGGGCCGGCCCCGCGGCAGCCGCAGCAGGACAAGTACTTACTGATCTCCATGCTCTGGAACAAAGACCTTTTGCAGTTGCATGTGCAGGACACATTGGGCTGAATAGCTACGGCCGTGCTGTTCAGCCCCATGAAGTTGTACATTTAAAATTTAAAAAAAAAAAAAAAAAAAAGACAAAAAAAAAAAAAGACGGCGACGGCGACACAAAGAACTTGGCGGCCGCCGAGCGCTCCCCGGGCAGCGCCACATAAAGCCGGGGCTCCTCCTCGGCGCGGGGGGGGCGGGGGGAGGGAAATGCAGCTGCGATCAAAAATTGGAAATGAAAAACCCGGCGCGGCGCGGAGCGAGCAGCGCCCCCCGCAGCGGCTGTGTGCGGCCGGGCTCGGCTCTGCGCGGCTCGGCTCGACAGGGCTAGGAGGCGGCTGCTCCGCGCCCCCTCGATCGCGGGGAGCAGCTGCGCTGGGCCCGGTGCGCGGCAGCCCCGCAGTTTTGTGGCCGCGGCGCGCTGGGACGCGGTGGGAGCGCTGCCCGCCCGCTCCCGCTCCGCTCCCGCCCCCCGCGCTCATTCACGGCCACGGGGACGCGGCCGCGCGCCGCCGCCAGCCGCGGGCGGGCTCTGTGACGTCAGCGCCAGACGGGGACTGCCCTTTCCCCCGCGCCGCCGCCGCCGCCGCCGGGGGGGGGCCTCGGCGGGAGCGCGCCCCGGGCTGCCGCGCGCGGCCCCGCGCTGCCGAGGGGCAGCCTGCGGAGGGACCCGCGGCGTCCGTGGGGTCCGGGGCTCGCTCCCGCCCGCCCGTGGGTGCCGGTTTCGCTTCTCGCCCTCACCGTCAGCTCCCCGCGGCGCTGGGGCCGGGCGGGGAGTTCGCAGCCGAGTCCCAGAAGCACCCGGGCTGCGGGACATCCACCCGCGGGGCAGGCTCGGCCCCACGGCGCGCACGCGAGAGCGGGAGGCGCGGAGCCCTGGGCTCGGCTTGCGCAGACGGCTCCCGCATGCAGCATTTCCAAGAGAAAATGGGAGAGGCAGGAAAAGAAATGGGGGGGGGGGGGGCACCTGTAAGCATCTGAACTTGGTGTAAATTCTGCCGTTAGCTCCTGTGTGGAAACGACAACGCTCACTTCCTTCTACCAAACTCTTCAGACAGGAACTCCCGTTTTTGTTTCACACTTCAAAATGGAGGGACCCGATTCACTTTTTGGATAGGTAAAAGTTAAAACCATCACCTTTTCCTGAGGGCTCGGTGTGCAGAGTCTTAACCAAGACAGATTGTCATTTATTTCTGGGAAATAAAGCTGTGAAAGAGGTTTAGGGTGAAAATGCTGAAACAAGCTCAACTACAGTGGTGCAAAGTAGCTGCTATAATACTCCGAGAATGCTGTTACTGGAGATCAAGGCGGCTTCAGGTATTCTGTAAGAAAGTGCATTTTCTCATAATACCTGGAGAGGCCCTTGCGGGGCCCATTCTCCCAAGGGATGCAATAAGGAAGGGACAGGCTCCCAGCCCCACTACAGAGCTACACAGAGATTGTACAGAGCAGATGGTGTCCAGAGTCAGGTCAGGCATGGTGCTGCTCACCAGTACAGTTTAACCTTTATTCCCCCCCCCCCCCCCCCCAAAAAAATGGAATTCATTCCTACGTGACTGCTTACAAACTAATGCTAAATACATGCCTGTGCTTCATCCAGTCCTGTGAAAACGCCTGAAGAGAAGGAACAAGGAATTGCCAGGTTGTTTAATCTTTTACTCTTTGCCACTCGACAGATGGTAACTCCCAACAATTACTAATCCAAAGGAAACACGGAAGGGGATCTTGTGGCTCGAATAGAAACGAGCTGCGAGGAGTTTGTGCTTTCCCATGCGGAGCAGACGCGAACAACCATACGAGTGCTGTTCCCCAACGCAAGGCAGCAGCATGGGGCTCAATGCAGGCCTAGCAGAGAGGGACAATTACATCCCCAAATCTATGCTACAACTGGGAATAAAGCATTTCCAATTCTATTTCTGTATTTTGTTCCCAGCTTCAGTTTCCTCATCAGTAATGCAGGAGGGAGAATTCTTACCTGCCTTTTGGCTAAATTCCTTCAGGTCCTGGAGTCTCCATTTCTTTCATGCCAGGGAAATTTCTAAAAATGCTTAAAGCAAGGCACACGTGGTCAAAACTCTGAAGGTAAGACAGCTTTACTGATCAACCCACTTCTATTATTATTTAGCTGGAAATACATCTTTTCCTTTTTAAAACACTCGGCAGCTGGATATTAGAGACCCTTTCCCAATGGACCTTACTAGACGGGCCATAAAACGTGGCTGTAAACTAAGTTGAGCCCACCAGCTTGCAACTAACAGTCCTTCACACTTAAAATACGTAGCACCACCATAAATTAAGTCAAGGTGAACACTACACGCTTCTTATGTTGTGTGAGATACCAGCCAGCAGCAGCCTGCCAGCACCAGCTCTCCCAGATCATTGGCTGTGTAGACATGGCCATAGTTTGTGTTTGATTCAGAATTATTGTATTTTAAGACCCAGACACATCCTTAAATGGTCTTAAGGAAGCAAATGTAGCTTTAAGAAATAGACTGTTCTCCTGTGGCAGGTCAGATCCTTGCCTGGTGGGTTACAGAGTCCTCCTTTGCGTTCTCTGCTTTTCAAGCACAGCTTTGCCTTTCACAACCCAGCACAGCATTACCTATGGGCCCAGGGAATGGGAGACAGGGTGGCACATGGAAGGGCACAGCCGGAGGCCTGTTTGCAGGCAGGATGTGCTGGGGATGGGTGCTGTGGCAGAGGAGCCTTGGTGGAGGCATCTCACAAGATCCAAACCAACACCAGTGTCCGAGGCAGTGCAGGCAGGAAGACCTGGTGCCCGGGCTTGGATGAGAGGTGGAAGAGCCAGCTCTGCAGGGGGAAAGGCGCCTGCCCACACCCCGTGAATCAGCTGCCTTGTTCCAGGGGGTGTTTTTACAAGTTTGCAGAGCTCTGGTGGATCAAGGTTCCAGTTTCAGATGCAGGCTGCTGCAAGTTCACACGTCTTCCTAACCTTCTTGAAAAATACAGAGAAAATAACTGTTTGCAAGTCAATGCTGGTTAAAAAATGCACTGTTTACCACCATCCCAACTTCATCTGAACGACTGAATGTGGCTTTAAGAACAATCAGCATTTTTCCACCATGATTTAAGAACAAATAATTCAAGTCATCCCAGATGGGCTTGTAAAAATTAAAAGTACATCAGCTAATTTAAATGCTTCGCCCCGTACTTTGTAATAACGCTATCCACCCTCCAGCCCACTGCTGTTTGTCAGAGCAAGTGCTGCTCTCCTGGAATACACTTTTGTTGATTTTGGCCTCTGTATTCTGTCACTGATAAGCTTTCTTCAGTTTCTTTTTGTGTTCTCCCTAGAGACACCTCTGACGGCTCCAGGATGAGGCTGGCACTGCAAGATCTCCCTTCGCTTCCCGCTTTTGTGGGAATTTCAGGGTGAGCTGAGCTGCTCACTGGGCTCTTCAGCCATGGAAAGGGACACACGGGAGCTTCAATGGTATCTGAGGTCCTGGGGCAGACACATCAGTCTGCTGGGGCTAGCTTTGGACAACAGTGTAATCTCATTCATTGCCGGACCAGAAGTTAGGCGTTTGCCTGTGCGGTCACATTTAAATCTGTCCCTTTATTCCTCACTGCAACACTTCAGCATTAGTTAAGATGGGAGCAACGCCGCATAATCATTACAGTGCAGCACTAAGGGTAAATTCCTAAAATGTTATTGGAAAGAGAGATCCGTGTGAGAAATATGTAACCTTAGAGTCAAATCATGTTCTTCTTAAAGTGGGTGAGGTGATCTAAGGAAAAACAAAGCAAAAAACTCCACAACTCCCTAAAGCTTTGTTAACTAAACAGTTGTCCATTAAAGAGACCAAATACTTCACAGCATTAGTCTTTGGATTAATGTTAAATCAATATGCACTAACGCAATAGGGCAATAGTTACCATGGTGAATAATTCTATATTTATTTTCAAGCAAGCCTTATTTCTAACAATTCCAGACATGGTTTCCACTTTCGGTGACTAACCTCTTAATTTATTTTTTTTAACTGTTCAGTACCAGAAACTCAAGTATTCTCTTCAACAACTAGAACAGGACCTCTGCTGTGACAGGAGAACAATGCTGGGCAGGGACACAGGTGCTCGCCAGTTTTAGCTAAGGGCTTGTTTGCTTTTGAAAGTCAGTACAGCTACATCTCAGGTATGATCTGAAGTGTACAAAAATTCACATGCTGCGAATTAAGTCTTCATTAGACGAGCCCTCATCCTTGTTTCGAACAGCAGAAGCGTTCTCCTTCTGAGACTTCAACCCATTTGCAAAGTGTCAATAACCGACCTCGAACAATACTGCTCCAAAATCCTCACCCCTCTCTGCGAACCCACTCACTTGCCCTCTTCTCCCCTTCCTTCCCTCTGTGGCATCAGGCAGTGCAGGATGATGACCCTGGGGCAGGAGCTGCTGTCACCAACTCAGACAGTTCACAGCTGCCTCTTCCCAAATGCTTGTTTCCCAGCTCTGCACAGCGCTGGGTTGGATCCCATTTAGGAAGTTTTGCTCCCAACCAGGAGGGCTAAAATGTCAACGAGTATTTGTTTGTAATGAAAATTTTTACTGAAGCCACCAGAATGTTATTCCAACCCATTCTGTCTCATCTGGGGCCTGATACAACTCCAGCTGATGTCACTGGAAAGCCTCCACCCTACCTTTACATTTTATTGAAGGCACTGGTAGGAAATGTATCACTTCACTAACAAAAAAATAATTGGCCTAAGAATTCACAGCTCCCCAGCTGGAAACATTTCAGTTTCTTGTGCTAGCGCTAGGGAAAGCGCTTTAGATGCACAAACATAACCCATGACTTTTCTTGATGGAACAACAGGCATTTTGGAGAGAGGAATAGGTCTTTGGAGAACAAAGGTGACCCTGAACTCCCTGGCTGAGTGCTGACATACCCACGCAAAGACTTCGGCTCATCGGAGGAAGCACTTCAGTCATGCTGAAAGCCAGCGCAGAACCACTCACAGCAGCTTTGCTGCCAGAATCCGTGTGCAGTCAGTCGCTTAGAGCAGCTGCCCACAGTTCATGGGTTGCCCTGTCCCCCACACGATGCCCGCATACCCCCGTGCACTCACATACGTGGTTAGATACATACACACACACACAACATACGCGTGTTTGCCAACACCCAGCTGCTCTGGGTTTAGCTCCTTTTGTGTCTTGCGCGAAAAGTGAGACCAGGTGGCCCCGGCTCTACCTGCACTCAGGAGATGGCACCGCAGCCCCGCCGGGCAAACAAGGGTCGGGCCGGGCGCCCCTACCCGACCCTTACAACCACGGCCCCACATCGTTGTCACCCGCGCCTGCTGCGGGACCGGGGCACGGCTGTGGAGCACAGCAGCTGTCCTCAGTCCCGACCCCGTAGCCCTGGACCCATCCCCATCCCCATCCCCATCCCCATCCCCATCCCCATCCCCATCCCCATCCCCATCCCCATCCCCATCCCCATCCCCATCCCCATCCCCATCCCCATCCCCATCCCCATCCCCATCCCCATCCCGCGCACCCTGCGGGCTCTGCCCCTTTAAATCGCCCCCGGACGCCGCGGGGGCGGCCCCAGACGGCGCCCGGTGTCACGGACGCGCGTTATTCCGCCCTCCGCCTGTAAATGACTCCCGCGCTCAGCCAATCAGAAGCTAGGCAGCGGGCGGCCGCGAGGCACGGTAACCAATTAGCGGAGAGAGGCGGGGCGAGCCTGGCCGTGTGGGCTCTAACTCCACGTGGGGCGGGGCCGTGACCGCGCGGTGACCCGGGGCCGTGGCAAAGGCGCGGCTCGCTCCTTCCCGCGCCGCCGCCTTAAAGAGCCAGTGCGCGGGGCGCGAGGAGCGCGGCAGCTCCCGCGCCCGGCCTGCGCCCGCGGCGCCCCTCGGGTACGCGCTGCCTGTGGAGGGGCGGGTGCCCGAGCCCGTTCTGTGCACGTACAGCAGCGGCGCGGCCTGCAGGGTTCCGCTGCCCCAGCCGTGCCCTGAACTGTACTTCCCGTTGGGCTCCCGTTATTTTATGCCCCCCCCCCAGGTGCCACTTTGGGAAACAACGCTCAGGAAGTCACCCGGGATGCGCTGGGAGACGTGCAGGCGGGGTGCTGCTGGTGGGAATCACACCGGAGCAGAAGGGAAAGGTGACAAGACGTGCGTGGTGGAGCTGAGCTCGGGCTCGAGTCGCCATGGCTCTGGGTGGCAGCGAGCCAAGCACGCAGCTGAACAGGCCCGTGTTGCAGAGAGGCCCATTGTTCATGGACGAGCTGTTGAACTTGCACTCCATTTGCTCGGCCCTACAGCCGCGGTGCAGCCGCGGGGCGATGTGCATTGCCTAGCTGCGCATTTGACATCGTCATCACTACCTAATAAACCTGTTAACGGGGAAGCTTCAACACCAAAGAGACAGAAAAACAAACAAACAGGAGGACTAGGAGAGAGGGAGGATCCTGGAACACAAATGATCCCATAAATGCCTTTCCGTGAGTCTATTTACTCAGCTGCTGAAATGATTTCAACTGAGTGATTAGTCTTACACGCTAAAACCAAGCCATCCATTCTTTTCTGTGATAGTCCAAAATCCTACATCTGGTACTTTATCTGCAGTCTTTTTCCCCCCCCTCCTTTTGTTTGAAAGAGAGTGTTTGCATTATTTGATCCCCAGATGCACTATATCATCACAGTTTGGGCTTAGAAAGGTGAATCACAGATATTAAAATTGGTTGTTTCAATCCCACTTGACTGCAGAGAGCTGAATCCTCCCTCACGAGGCTTTTCGAACACAAAAGAGACAAAATTGATAATTTGAGAGCCTGATTTTCAAAGAGAATGACAAGAAAGTGTTTTAACTTCGGGTGAGAACAACCCTAAAATGTACATTTGACCTCCTGTGGTGCCGTGGGGTGTTGGAGCTCCAAACCTGACGTGCTGGCTCTGGGGATGATGCTCTCGGGGGTTTCTCTCTTTCCTAAGACCGATGCCAGGAAAAACAGAGGCAGCAGAGACTTTGTGCGAGGCCAGACAGTGAGCAGCAGCTACAGCAATACCCTGAACTTGAACCTGCCTGGAGTGCATTATGTATTGTACATCCAGGTAGTGGTGGCGCATACAATAAAATAACGTGGGATGTACATAAAACATCTCCTACTGCTCCATCACCAATAATCTCTACTTTTATTGGAATGTTTAAACGCCAAAGTTTTGTACTTCTTTCTCAAACCATGTAGAGTCTTGCCTGAGCCTGGTACTGCTTGGCAAAAAGAGAACTTATGGGCACATCTAATTAAATCGTATGAATCAGGGATATTGAATTGTTGAAGGCTTTTTTGTTGTTGTTACTGCAATTTTAGGTTTCTAATGATTCTGATTATCTGTGAAATCATTAATTCTAAGGCTTAAGAGAAAACCACAAAAAAAGACACCTTCTGGGGACTCTAGGGGCCACATGTGAATCTGATTTTCCAAATGAAAAGAGTTATAATATCAGTTAAAACCTAAAGGCTTCACTTTCCCAAATCTTTTATGCTAGACTTTATACAGCTAATACATCGCCAATGTTTCCAAGGAAACCAATATGCCCTGTTCTCACGGAAACAAATCTCACTATTAAAACAATTAAAAACTTAATCTGGGTTCCCTCCCTTCCTCCCCCTCTCTCCTTTTGGTATTATCGTATGCATTTTAATTAAAACCACGATCACGATAAATTTTTTTACACATACGTAGGCTATGCTGTAAATTACCTGAAGGAAGCTTGACTCCAGAGCGTAATTGTTTGGAATGAAATATATTGCAACAATTGAGCAAAAAACAAATTAGCAGGAGTCTTGGTGAATCAATTAAAACCACTGCTCATCTCTGAAGGCTGCTGGCCATAGCTGATGGAGAGGAGTTTAAAACTGTGTCAGGCTGTGAAAAATGCAGGTTGAGGTATTAGGTGTAGCTTAGACACATTCCTGAATCTCAGCTGACAGTGCGGTGAGACGGTCCTGGCAGGCAGGAGCTCTGGCTAGCCAAAGCGGAAAAGCAGTTCCTGAAGGGCACCCACACTCAGCTGTTGGGAAGGAATTCTGATTCTCTGCTGGATGACCCAGCAATAGGTTTTAAGGTCACGGCGGCTGCGGAGCATCCGTTTCACAGCCCTATTTCTGCAAAGCCGTCACACAATGCACACCACATTGCTGGATACACTTGCCTAAGCTTACAGGAAGGTCGGATGCCACAGGATAGAGCTGCCTGAAAGCTGAATATGGGCTCAGAGGTGTCTGCTGCCCTGCGCTCAGTGCTCTTTCAAATGTCTGCTTATGAACCACTTCATATATCTGCACCCAAAGGCCCAGCTATGCTGGGTCACAACAATCCCCCACAACACTACAGGCTGAGAGAGGAGTGCCTGGAAAGGTGCTCAGTAGAAAGGGACCGGGGGGTGATGATTGATGGCCGCTGAACATGTCCAGCAGTGTGATCAGGTAGCCAAAAAGGCCACGAGCATCTGACCTGTATCAGAAATAGTGTGGCAGCAGAGCCAGGGCAGTGATTGTCCCCTTGTACTGGGCACTGGTGAAGCAGCACCTCAAATCCTGTGTTCAGTTCTGGGCCCCTCACTACAAGAGAGACATTGAAGAGCTGGAGCGGGGCCAGAGAAGGGCAATGGAGCTGATGCAGGGCCTGGAGCACAAGTGTGATGGGGAAGGGCTGAGGGACCTGGCGGGGTTTAGTCTGGAGAAGAGAAGGGTCGGGAGGACCTTATCGCTCCCTACAACTGCCTGACAGGAGGATGGAGCGAGGCGGGGGTTTGTCTCTTCTCCCAAGTAACAAGCAATAGGATGAGAGGGAACTGCCTCAAGTGGCACCAGGGGAGGTTTAGATTGGATATTAGGAAAACATTCCTCCCTGAAAGGATTGTCAACCACTGGAACAGGCTGCCCAGGGAGGTGGTGGAGTCCCCATCCCTGAAGGCATTTCAGATGTGTAGATGTGGCACCTGGGGACATGGTTTAGTGATAAAGTTGGCAATACTGGGTTAATAGCTGATGATCTGAAAGGTCTTTTCCAACCTAAATAATCCTGTGATTCTATGAAATGAATCAAGTGAGAGGCCCCGACAGCTCCACCTGCACCCACACACTCTGCAGCGCGAGAGTGCCTGGAGAAAGAGGGGGCTTGAATATCCAGCACTTTGGATTTGAAAACATGATGGGGTTTTACAGGAGCTGTCAAAGTGCCTCGCTCCAAAGCTGGGTGTCTCAGTGGCACAGGAGGGGCAACTGATGCCCTTCTGAGGAAGTTCCTTGTTCTGCCAGGTTGGGGGTGCTGGTCTGAGCTGACAGCCCAGATCAGAGCTGGAGGCACCTTGCATGGGCCAGAGCATGGCCCAGTCCCAGGGCTGCGGTACTCTGCCATGCTGCCTCAAGCCTCTCGTGGTTTGTTTGTATTGACTTAGCACCGCTGCTGTCCTCAGGAGCTGGAGAACAAATAGGAACCCCGGGTGTCAGCACCAAGGAGCTTAAAGCCTCGCTGCAAACACAGCTCAAGCTCTGTGTTAAAAGTGTTTTGCTGGTTTGATCTCAAGAGGCCTAAGGATCCAGCCGCGGAGCTTTGGGGGTCTGTCTGCTGAGGAGAGGGATCTGCAGGTCAAGAGGCTCGTGAAAAGAGGAAACCAGCTCCAAGCACAAGAAGTGAATGCCACCCGGAAGGCAGTAAATACAGCCCCGCTCTTTGTTTTGCCCACATTGTGTTCCCAGCTCTGCCTGCTGCATATTGACTTGGCTTTTCTGTTCCCCTTGTGTGTGTGTACGACTTCCACTCCCGTGACAAGAGGCTAAGCACGAAGGAAGGGAGCAGTCGGCAGAGAGATGTTTCATGTGGATCCAAGAGCTAAATCTGGCCTTGGCTTGTGTGCTCCCCCAACTCCGCAGGGAGCAGAAGGGAAACGCAGCCAGAGCTGCTTCCTCCACAGTTGTGAGCACTTGCACATCCTTCTGCCCACGCTGGTGAAGGGCAGGGGATGGGGATGGTGTGTCTCA